ACTTCTGTGTTCTTAAAGTTCAAAAATTAGAAAAATGTTCATGCCCAATGCTCTACAAATGTTCAATAAAAATCCTTCAATATTCAAAAATCTTCATTTGTGAAAAGTACAGTATAAGGTGAAATGCTGAATACAAAGCCCTGTTTTGTTATTATCTATTTGCATTAGGAAACTAGAGGTGATTGGGCTGGGTAAGGGAGCTTCAGTTAAGCAAGAAGGAGGGAACAAGAGAAAGGAGCTTCCCCTTGCTATGGCCACATTAGGCAATGCATAGGAAATGGAGGTAGGGAGAAGCCTGAATTCTTGCCAGCTCTACTTAGTCTATGCCATTTTGTGCCTGATGGTGGGAGGCCTAATGCTGGGACAGGGTCTGCTTATCCTCAGTTATAGGATCTCTTCCAAAATTGCCCTTGTTTAGATTTTTGTAGTAAGTACATGTATGAGCTTCAGTAAAGGTACTCCATACCCCTGAAAAAGACATTAGCAGTAATCATAGTATAAGCAGAAAACTGTCAAAAGAGATTCTTGTCAAAAGGGATTAAAAGTCTATAAAAGCATATAAGGTGGCATTAATTTGGGTCTAATTTGAACAATTTTTACTAAGCTCAAACCAGTGTTGATATGGTACTGGTTATTCCACTATTGTTATTGAGCTATCTCAGCTCCAAATTTACCCTTCTATACTTTCCTCTGTGATGCCACGGTCAGACCCTGCAAACTACATTTTGCCTATGCTAGCTGATGCCTCACTAGATTCCATCAATAAAGGGCATTAGAGAGTGACTGGAAGACAGGAGAGGGGCAAAAGGGCTTCTTCTTTTCTGATTGAAGTTTCTGTCATTGTTATCTTAGCAATAAGCAATGGTCCTTTGTTCTAGCGGGAGTGACTGATTTCAGCCTTGAGCTTCTTTTGGCTCATCTCCACCCCCACCTCCACCCCCACCCCGAACCGGTCTCATCCTATCCTTCAGTAGAAGAAGGACCAGCTGGATAGCATCTTCTCAGGGATCTGAGCTATAGCTCAGCTGGGTCATTCCTCTGAGCTTTTGAGACCTGATAGTCCAACCTTGATTCCTCTTTTTCACTTGCTTTAGGGGAGGTAGCTGCTACCTCTGGCCTACTTCAGTGCTTTCTTTTTGCTTTTTCAGTCCATCAACACACAATACTAAATTCTCTGTTGTAATATCTTGTGATTTCTAGTTTCTTGACTATTATGTCTCCAAATCTTCCCCCAAAGGAACCTATAGTCATTAGCAGAGTATCTATGCTTTTGGGAAAATGTTAACATTCATATTTTCCAGGAATTACTAGATACTGGCTCACAAAATAAATTATTCCAAATTGAAGTACAGAAAGAAAAAGATTTGGAAAAAAAAGAACAGAGCCTGGAATGACCTGTAATAAGGACTAAGAAGTCTGGCAAAAGTATAAGTATAGTCTCAGAGGAAGAGAGAGAGCAAATGGAGTAGAAAAAATAGTTGAAGAAATACTGGCCAAAAGTTTTCCAAATCTGATAAAAGGAAACAACAACAACCAGCAATCCACATATTCAGGGAAATAAAGGAACCCAAAGTGGATAAATACAAAGAAAAACATACCTAGAAACATAGTGTAACTGCTCATAAAGACAAAAACAAAAAACAAAAAACAAAAAACAAAAAACCCTACCTACTAAAACCCCCAAAAAACAAGATCTTTCATAAAGACAAAAACAAAAAACAAAAAACAAAAAAACCCCCAAAAAAGCAGCCAGAGAAAATATGACCTTCAGGAAAACAATGATAATTACAGCTAGCTTCTCATGAAAAATGGAGGCCAGAAAATAATGATATTTCAAAGTGCTGAAAGAAAACCCTTTGATGGCTTCTTATTGACGATAAGATAAAGTTTAAGGTCCTTAACTTCCATAACCCGATATTGCTTACATTTCTAGTCATCTTTTGCTCCAGCATATTATGCGATTGTGTAATACCTTTTTTTTACACAGGCCCCTCCATGTGGAAAGGCCTTCTTTTTGCCTACTTAATTGCCTGACTAGCCTGACCACATAACTCCCTTCTCCCTGAGGCTTAATGTCCCCTGGACATACCTATTGTTGTACTTACTCTATTAAGTATCTGTTTAAATCTCATTCTGACACTGGATTGAGCTCTTTTAAGACTGATCTTCAGATCTCCAGTACCTGTTGTAGTGTCTACCACAGAATGAACTCTTAATAAATTTAGTTGAATTATTTCTCATTAAAACATAACAACACTCAATCCAGAAATTAAATTTAGTTACCAGGGTCTACTAATTTCTATACCTCACAATCAAGCCTCTGATTAGTTACTTCTTGCTGATTAGTAGGTAGGGTTTTTTGTTGTTGTTGTTGTTTTGTTTTGTTTTGTTTTGGTCCTAAATGGTCCTGTCTGACAGTGATGCTAAACCAGATCATTGTCTCTAATCACTTCTAACTATAAGCTACCAAGAGTTTCCTGGGAAAGATTGGCTACCATATCAGAAGCCCCATTTTCATTCCACAGGTCTTAAATTCTGACTGAAATTTTCTTGTTGCCTGATTCTGGCTAGACCCTGGTCCATTCAGCACTAATTACCAAGGGTGATTCCTGTTTTGGTTTGAGTTCCGCTAGGAGAGGAAAAAGAAGCCACATGCATGTTTATATTTGGAAGTTGGGGAGACAGGGTGTGTGAAAGGAAGTCTCTGGAACAACTCCCACCCCATAAGAACATGGAATTCATTCCTTCTAAATATACCATACTGCAGTTTCATACATGACTTTTGGCCTAACTACCCTTCCACCCAGTGCTTTCCTCTTTTAATGCTGTTTCCTTATTTATCTTTTAATTTCTCTTTTTTATAAAAAATTTTAAAAGAGTTCCTGGTAAAAATGGATGAAGAGAAAACAAGGAAAACAACAGGAAAAACACATGTTTACGGGGAACTAAAACACTTTTAAATCCCTTAATTCTATTGCTTAAAGAGGTGGCAGACAGGAGTCGTCAAAAGATCTGCATCAAAATCTTGTGAAAAGTCTGTTCAGGTCATTGGCCCATTCGAAATATGTATTCCCTTACAAAATAAAATCCATGGCTTTAGTATATTTTTTCTGGGTTTATTTTCACCACTTAAGGTAGTGGTATAAGCTACCTGATCACAAAGACTACTTAACTGTTGTTTGTATTCACATTCCCTGACCCATCACATGTTAAATATGTAACTAGAATTGAATTGAGGTAGATTTTGTTAACAGTTCACTGTGTGATTTTAGAGAAATAGTTTTAATCTCTGAGTAATGGTTTTTCCAGCTTCAAAAATAAATATCTCGATCCATAAACTTTTTAAGATGTATCGACAAATAAAACTATTGTATTACTTGGCTCAGGCCGCCATAACAAAATACCACAGACTAAATGCCTTAAACAATGGAAATTTAATTTCTCAGTTCTGGAGGCTGGAAGTTACATATCAGGGTGTTGGCAAGATCAGTTTCTGATGAGAACTCTTCCTGGCTTGTATGGCTGCCTCCTTACTGTGTCCCCCCATGGTGGAAAGAATAAGCTCTCTGGTGTCTCTTCTTATAAAGACACTAATCATGTAGGATTAGGGCCCCACTCTTGTCACTTCTATCAACTTCAATTACCTCATAGAGCCTCTGTCTCCAAATACAGTCACATTAGGGGTGAGGGCTTCAATATATAGGACACACAATTCAGTCCATAGCAGCCATGATAAAATATGCAAAGGTATTTAGACCCTTAGAATAAATTCAAAATTCACTTGTATTATTCGCTTTGGATGCTAATAATGGGATGTAGACATGGAGTAGCTGTTGCCCAGTTTGATGATGTACTTGCACCAGCCAACTTGGTGATTTGTGCTTGACTTTGTGATCTTATATATAGCAAGCAAACCACATAAATTTAGCACCACTCAAATAAGTAATTTTAAAGTTAAATACAAAAAAGTGTGACCTCTTGGGACTTACAGTCAGGACTAGGATTAAAGAAGGGAAAAGATGTATTAATGCCTTCAACAATATTTACTATCCATCTATCACGTGCTAGGCACTGGGGAGAAACTAAAAACTGATATGGCTCCTTACTTAATGGAGTTTACAATCTAGATAGGGATATGGACAAACTATTTCAACAGCTTGTATAAGGAAAATACCCGTGCTCCAGAAAGGGTACCTAACCCAAGCAGGTTTCCCTGGGGAGGAAAGCCTAAGCTGAGCAAGAAAGATGGTTAGAAAAGAAATGAGGAATGTTGTGGGGGGCTGCAGCCCTGGCGTCGGGAGAACTAACTTCGTGATGACCCAGCAGGTGGCTGAGGCTTGACCCCTAAAAGTGGGCAGACCTAACTAACACCCAAGGTCACTGTTCTTCCCCATAAGAGCACGACTACCGCAAACGAGACTGGAAGCTACTTATGCGCCAGAACACTTCGAAGACTCTCAGACTCCGCTTATTTCGGTTTGTGGCTCAAATGAAGCATACATCTTACATTTTTCTCTCAGGTCACCACCATTTCCAGGCATTTTGGTTTGTTCTTTTTTGCTCCTCGCCCCTAAGAACCTTCATCTGGCGAAACCCTCTTCAGGTTAAGAAATCAGGAGGAAAATCCCAGAGAAGTTGGGGCTGACTTCGAGAAGCAGTCATTTTTGCCATGGAGTCTCTCCTGCGGCGCAAAGGAAGGCCCAATGTACTCAACGAAAGAGAAAAAACAACGTAAATCGGGCACTTCTTACCCTCTAACTCTCTTTCTGCCGCGCAGCCTCAGCTCGTTTCACGCCCAGCACAGCGCTCGATTGACAGTCAGGCTCGTCCAATCCCAGAGCGGCGCAGACCGCTCTCGCGTCAGAGATGGAAGGGAAGGGAGCAATTGAACCTATCAAATTGGACCAGGAGGGGGTTTCCTGCCCGCGCGGATCCGCCCACGGCCTCACGGCCAGTCGGCACTGCAGCTCCGCCCGCCTGCCTTTCGCGCCCCGCCCCTCTCCCGAGAGCTACGCGGCGGCTGAGCGGAGGCCTCGTGCCGTAACGGCCATCGCGGCGACCGCGGCGGCGTACCGGTACCCTCCTCAGGTGAGCTGGGGCCGCCGGGGCTCGGCAGAGGGAAGGAGAGACAGCCCTGCTGGCAGGCAGACTCACAGAGAGCCTTTCTTTACGTTCACACAGCCTGTTATTAGCTACGTTGCTTCCTCTTCCCTAGTGAAGTTGGCCCCGGGGGCGCCGTCTGCGGGCCCAGAGCTGAGCTGGAGGGGGCGGGGAGGCCGATCGGCCCCGCCTGGGCGTTTGCGCCGTGGCTCCGCGCGACCCTTCGGTCACTGCCCCGCGGGGAGCGGCCCCGCGGCTTCCTTGTTCGGTACCAGAGCCCCAGGTGGGGATGACCGCCCCAGCCGGCGATCCCTGAAAGGCTGGGTGATCGAGTGTGCAGCGTGCCTGCTTCTCTGTTTCTTTTCCACTCGGGAAAGTCTTTTTGCCTGCTGTGGCGTAATGCAAAGCCAGGAAGTTAGGGACTTGTTAGAGGAGGGAAGGGGCGCGCTCACATCCAGCTGGAGAGATGGGAAGGGACCCTGGTCCTGTGCGGAAGGTGGACATCCTCGGGATGCGCCCTGTGCCCCTCCCCCACCCCTACTGTTTCTCTGGGTCTTGGTAAATCTGGATTATTTTAATTGTGTGGCCCTGCTGTAGATTCGTACGTGAGTTGCTTGGGCTTTGAGCTTTTGAATTGAATTGTAATATGTCCAGTAAAAAAAATATTTCAATAGATTGGTTTTGTAACTTTGTGTTTATATAAAAGTTAAATTGCCGTTAGAAGCTTGGGGAACAGGGTTTTGTTCAGAGCTGAGAACCGTAACATTATAGACGCTCAAGTAATGTCGAACTGATGAACTGATCACCTAAAAATAATTATCATTAGATTTGGTAAGAAACCTTAGGAGTTAAGAAAGAGGGAAGGAGAACTTTCTAACCCCATCTTGGGTGATGAGCAAAGAAGCTTAGTGTCCGGTTAAAACGGGTAAGTGTTGCAAGAGCAGCACTATTCATTTTTAAAATCTTACTTTGGTAGGTTTGTGAAAAACCAACCATATATTAAGCACCTGGAAAGCACTGTTCCTGAAGTCTCAGTTTTCAGCAGGGTCACAAAGTAAATGGGGAAATAAGTCAAGAAGGTTTTGTTTGGTGGTTGTCAATAATGTTCAGTTTTTAAATAGACATCCCATTCACAGTTTGATAGTAACTGAAGAAATACGCGTCGGTTGACTAATATTTTCATTCTATCTCGATTACAAATTCTTTCATTTTCTTCTTTGGGAAAACTGATCTGTAAGAAATAGCTATAATATCTATAAACACTATTTGCAGAGTGTTCAAGATACCTTAACTGGGCTTGTTCACGTTATGTTAAATTTTTGCTTTATTTATTTATGTTCAATGTTTGCTTTATTTTTCTAAGCGTTATCTTTTAGTCCAGATTTTACCATTGCTTTCAGGTCCATGTAAACAGAACCTGAAGCATACATAGAATGTTTTGTTAAATATTAAATGATAATTTATGCCTCTGAATTTATTTTTCTCTTGGACCTTTGAGAACTTTCCTGCCAAAGTTCAAGGTAGATTTGATGTGATTGTTATAAATCACTTGTCAGGAAGACTTGATTTAATAAATACAGATGTACATTGTTTTCTATCATCGTTTAATAACTTTTACAATTTACTCATCTTTATAAAATGGAAAAATACCAAATTTTTTTACCTACACCTGAAGACTAAATGATTATTTAGTCAATACATAAAATTGGAGGAAACTGTGAAATCACTAAGGATTTAACAATCTTCATAAATATTTTGCTATGCAGTTTTAGAAGACAACTAACGGCAAAAAATGACAATAAAGATTATTTAATTAAGTCAGTAATTCTATTGGGATGACCCTGTTTCAAAGGTAGAATTTATAGTCTTTCCTTCAAAACCGATTCTATATGCTGACTGTTTAAGTGATACTATGTTTTCAATTACCCAGTTTTATCATTGACTTCCTCCATCCACATAACATTGGCCAATTTTTGTCAGCCATTTTTTGAAAAAATTTTCAGCTATCTGTTCATTTTTACTAGCTTTTAACTAGGTTTTCAGTCTGCCTTTTCTTCCTACTCAGTATGTCCAATCTTCTGCCTAGTCTTAAAGTAATGCTTTGAACATATCCCTCGGTGTTAAACCAGCAATAGCTCCCCTATTTTTTTCTAATGACAGCACTATTTCTCTATAGGAGCTGTCCACTGCCAACAAACCAGTCTCTCCTCATTTAGACATTGTATTTTTCTACTTTTTTACCTGTTGAGATTTGAATGTCTATGTATTACCTGCCTATTCTTTAAAAGAAAAATTTTCTCCTAAAGTACTCAAGTAGCAAATTAAGTCAAATTTTGTTGAAGTTTCATTTTTACTCTTTCAGTACAGCTTTCCAGATCTTTCTGTTCCCTGTGTTGTTTTGTTTTGAACCCATAATCCTTACTGTTTTTGCATTCCTTTGATTTTTATTCTGATGTGGCTTGTATCATAATATCATGGAACAATAATGTGGGAAAGTTGGAATCTACCCTTCCATTTTATAGGTAGAGAAAATGCAATCAGTACGGAATAACCGCACTGAAATTCACACATCTTGTGATGGTGGCAGAGCTGAGACTCAGCCCTTGATGTCCTAACTCAAGTTCTGTGTATTTTTTATGAAACTGTACTACTCATCTCTTGCAATGTTATTTTGTGTTCTTTGCTTCACATTACTTTGCATTCTGTATATGTCTTCTTAAATTCAGAACTTTTATATGAGGGCAGGGGAACCTTCATGACTTGTTTAAATTATTTAAACAGTGACTTAAAAGTTTACATATAGTCTTTTTCTGTGTTTGTTAGAAGTATCAGTAACATTAACAAAAATAATATCTCTACAGTTGAGTCTTGTGACCCATTAAAAAGTGAATGAATATCTTATAAATTTTACTGTTGGAGTTTGAATTTCTCGATAAGGAAACTGAATCTTTGGGGGTCTTGAAAATAGATGGGAATAGTGTAATGGTTTGGGGGAAACCCCTAAGGGCTTATCAGTTAACTAAATTTAATGATTTAGCTAAATGTTCTTTTTCTCTTTTTGATTGTTAGAACGGTAACATTTTGCTACTTTATCATTTTGTTCATCTGTCAAGAACCAGATTATTGAGTGACTGCTTATTGAGCAAAACATTCTGAAAATCATTTGTTCCATTTGGGGAGTTAGAGCTTTTATATATTTGTTCTTCACATTTTTTCCCTCTTAACTCTAAATTAGTTTCTGTTAATAGCAGCAGCATTGAGTTGCCTTGGTATTTTTCTCATATTTATGTAGCAAAAGTTGAATGGTGTAAGACAGGTAGCACAGAAAACTATCAAGTGAAATGTCTCTAGAAGGAATGCTGTACTTTTTTGGTCTGAAACATGTTAGAAGCTATTTCTCTTTTAATGTTTGGTTGTTTATAATGGGTTGGTTTTATTTGTTTAAATAAATTATCTGCTAAAATAAACTGTTGAAATGCTGATTCTCTTTAATCTTGAAATTGTACTTCAGGATTCCTAAATTGAGCGTAAATATGGTATGGATAATTTCTGTTGTTTATTTATTTATTTATTTCCCCCCCACACAGACCAGTTGAATAAAGCAGTAAGAATATGGCTTGGGGAAATCTAAAAAAATGGATGCATCTAAAAAGGGTGCTTTTTTTTGTTTGTTTGTTTTTAAAGACTCAGCCTTCCAAAAAATTTCAGTACATACTTTCAAATCATGTTGTATCTAGATCATCTCAAGTAATGGATAGAGCAAATAATTTATGGGCCTTGTACTTTTTAAGCATTCTAGCTGTATTAAAAAACGTTTTATTAATTAAACAAGGTATTGGGAAATTTTCCTTGGAAATGCTCAATCACCTCTAGGTTTACATGTTCTTGAATAATAACATTTTTTATTTTTGAAAATATTTATAATACTTTGTGTACAACCTCTTCTCCCCAGAATTCTGCGCTCTAGGACTTTTTTTTTTTTTTTTTTAATTGTTCTTAAAAAGGCCTCTAAGGCCTACATGTAGCTTCATCCCTTGCCATTTTTCTTTTCTTTTCGGCTGCTCTTTGGATCTTGAATAGTCAAACTCTTTTTTGCCTTGGAATTTGTGAACATGCTCTTATGTCTAGGTTATGGCTCCCTTAGGTTAATTACTATTAAGTTTGACTGCTAGTTAACAGATTGATGCTGAATAATAATTTTTCTCTCATACCAGAGAAATCCAGGGTTTGCATGGCATTCATTTATTGTGTTATTTCCAAGGTTTCCCCTGCCCCCCTTATTGTAAGTAACTCTTGAAATATAGATCTTTGGGTATAATACCTTAAAATTTTTCTCCTTTTGGTTAATTTTTGTTGTGCAATTTAATTGAAAATCTCATTAATTTCTTTAAAAACTTGTTTTGAGAAAATATTGTTAATTTTTTTTTAAATTGCAGAGTGCACAAATTTTAGTGTATACCTCAGTGAATTTTCGCATTTGTAGACATTATATACCCAACACCCAGATCAAGGTATAGAATATTTTCCAGTGCTCCAGAAGGCTCACTCATGCTTCTCTTCAATCAGTATCTTAGCCTCCCCCAAAAAGTAATCATTATTGTGACTATCATAGGACCATAGGTTATTTTTGCCTTTTTTTGAACTTCATATAAATGGAGCTTTTTTGTGGAGGGTTGCTTTTGCTTAACATTGTGTTTATGCGATTCACCGATGATGTTTGGTGTAGTAATAGTTCTTTTTTTTTCTTTTTGATGGTAGTATTCCATTGGATGAAATTTAAAAAAAATTCACCAGTAATGAATATTTGGTTTGTTTCCAGTTTTTGTTTTTGTTTTTGCTATTATGAACAAAGCTGCTATAAACATTTACTTAGAAGTCTTTTAGGAGACATACACACTCATTTCTTTTGGATATGTATACCTGGGAGTAGAATTGCTCTGTTCTTATCTACCAGTTTTTGTATCGACTCAAATCAGCTTTCTAGGTGA